CAGAGAAATCTCAGATAATCAGGTCCAAAAATAAGCAACATTCTGATGACTTCCATTTAAAGAAATGTGATAAAACATGTTTTCTTCATAATTTCAGCTCTAAGCCAAAGAAACCAGCAATAATCTAACCTTCAGTGGTGCCTTAAAAAGAGTGTTGTAAACCCTTCAAGAGGCTTCAACTTTTTCTCAAAGGAAACATTCACCATAGCACTCACCAAACTGACTGTTGCAAGACAGTATAACTGGCTTTCATTCTACCCTCATCTTTCTCCTTTTGAAAGGCTAGCTGCCTAAGGCCTCCAATTTGATACACCAGGTATATGCTTTCAGATAATTTTCGCTAAAAGTCAACTCTCCAATTGCATTTCCCACAAACCTGTGAAACAATCAAAGCCAAACACACATGAAAGGTAAGCATTCTGATTGGTCTTCTGACACCTTATGGGACTTGCTGGTGACCCCTTCTGACAACTGCTCCTTTGAGCTCTTCCAAGAACTATAAACAGCCAAAGCTTCCAGAGCAAAACAACAACAGGCCTATTACAGACATGACAGCACTTCTAACTCCACCCACATTCCTGTCTTCACGAAACAGTCTTCAAACATTTCAACATCTTTTAAAAATGCACTCAGGTTTTGCAAGATGAAAAGCATTCTGGAAACAGATGGTGGTGACTGTTGCACAACAATGTAAATGTACTTAATGCCACAGAACAGTACACTTAATGGTAACATGGTAAATTTTATATTATGTGCATTTTACTATAATTTTTTAAATGTACTCAGTTTCATATATTAGCATGTACATTATTCAGTTTGTGGGATTTATTTATGCCCTTTGTTTCTTTTCCTCCTTATTCTCTTTGGTTGCCTGTTTTCTGGCCAACTGAGAAGCATGGAAACCAGAACACATATTAAGTAAGAAGAAAAAGAGGCTATTTTTCTTTATTTATGGCATTCCCTTTCCACATCAAAAAAACAAAACAATTTAAAATTAGGAAAGATTAACTCTTAAAATTTAACTTAAAAAATATTAAACTATTTGTCATTTTTATTATTGTGGGAGTTCGTTAGTTTTTGTTTGTTTCTAACTTAAGGCAATGTTTTTTTGTGAAAGGGATGATCCCACTGGAGAAAACAAGGATTAGGGACTATATATGAATGCCAACCATCCAGTGCATGAATGGCTATGAAAACTTTAAAGGAAAGAGAAAGAATCACAAGGAACATATCAAACAACTATTAAAGCTGCGAAACATATTTCCTCTAAAGTTTTAAAACCACTAAATCACACATTACGTAGCCATGCAAATAAAATCTTGAATCTTAAGAAAACTGGCTCTCTCATGTTTCAGGTTAAATTTGAGACTTTACTCTGTTACTACAGTTGGCACATGCATATTCAGAGCTCTGAAGACAGAAATAAAAACTAGAAATATTGGCTTTTTATATCCTTTTATAGTAATAACTTTTCTTATAAGTTCTAATATAATAAATGAATTAAACTCAGTTATTTCATAGCAAAATAATAACATACAGAGAGGAAAATTCTCTGTAAGTATTAAAAAACTGACCACTCAGGATAGGATCATCTGTGTATTTTGGTTCACGGTTTCCAAATCTGATTGGCCATCACAATCCCATAGGAAGGAGTGTAAAAGTGAGAAAGAGAGAGTATGTGTGTGTGTGTGTGTGTGTGTGTGTGTGTGTGTTGTGTGTTTATTTAAATACAGATTTCTAAGCTCAAGCCCCAGGGATTCAGATTTGGCAAGTATGGAGTATGACTTGGGAATCTGTATATTGATAAAGCTCCCTGGGAGATTCCAATGATTGGTCCTGTTTCAGAACATCTACCTTAATAAATTGCTTTTACAAAAAGAGTCTATTTCTATTTATTAATAAGCAACAAAATAGCCTGCTGCAAAGCCTAATACTGTGTTAAGGTTCACATGTTTTATCTCCTTTAATCATCATAACAGCCCTGTGAGACAGGAAGACAGTATTATTCCCATTTTACAGATGAGGAAACCTAGAGAAGTCTAGAAATGTTACTTAACAAAATTATTCAACTAACAACTAGTAAAACCAGAATTCAAAGCTATGCTTTTAAGTCCCCAAAGCCCACCTTTCCTGGAAGCAGTATGGTAGAGTAGAATGAACAATGGCTGAATTTGAGCCCTGATTCTGATAACTTTTAGAGAATTATCACTTTTAGACAGTTATCACTCAGCTTTATCTGTTTCCTCAGCCGTATATAAGGCTAATAACAATATCCTACCAAGCTCAAGATTTTTATGAGAATCCAGATGTGAAATTGCTTTCAAAGTCATGAAAAGTTACTGAAAAACAAACTACTAGTGGGGTAGGGTAAAGAAGATTGATTGAGAAATAACATAGCATAGTAAGTGGGTAAATGCACAGACTCTGGAGACAGACTTCATGTGCCTGAGTCCACGCTCTACTATTTCTAGCAAGGTAACCCTAGGAAGTTACTTAACTTTTCTGTGCAATGATTTTCTCATGTGTTAAATGGAGATGATAATAAAATCGATCTCAGAATCTTATGAAGATTAAATGAATTAATGCATGTAAGATGCTTAGAATAGTGTTTGCCACATAGTAAGCACTCAACAAGTGTTAGATGTTAGAATCCTACCCAATTTTTTAAAGGAAGCATCACATGAAGAAAAAAAACAAGCCAGGCACAGTTAAGTAGTACAGCCCTGTAGTCTCAGCTACTCGAGAGGCTGAGGTAGGACTGCTTGATGCTTGAGCCCAGGAGTTCTGGGCTGTAGTGCATTGTGTCCATCAAGCGTCGACACTAAGTTTGGCATAAATACGATGACCTTCCAGGAGCGGGGGACCAGATGGTTGCCTAAGGAAGAGTGACTGGCGCAGGTCGGAAATGAAGCAGGTCAAAACTCCCATGCTGATCAGTAGTGGGATCATGTCTGTGAATAGCTACTGTAATTCAAGCTGGACACCATAGCAAGACCCCACATCTTTAAAGAAAAAAAAGTTCAAATGCTTAGTGACAGTACAAAAGGAGCCTAGAAGAGGCCAGTGCGGTGGCTCACACCTATAATCCTAGCACTTTGGGAGGCCAAGGCGGGAGGATAACTTAAGGCTAGGAATTTGAGACCCAGTCTCTACAAAAAATAGAAGGATTAGCCAGGTGTGGTGGCACACACCTGTAGTCCCAGCTATTCGGGAGGCTGAGGCAGGAGGATCACTTGAGCCCAGGAGTTTGAGGTTGCAGTGAGCTATGATCACGCCACTGCACTCTAACCTGGGCGATATGGCGAGACCCTGTTTAGAAAAAAAAAAAAAGAGCCTAGAAGGTAGTGACATTTTCTTCCCTTACAGAAATCTATGTAAATCCCTCCAATTTTGGAAATAAACATTTGGAGTTGTTTTAATTTTCAACTAAAAGCTACATGCCTTCCAAAATGTTTCATTTACGCAAATATTTAAGATCACTGAAAAGTAATATCTACTTTTTCATGTTTAAGTGTCTTTTATCTTTTTATCTAAAAACATCTCATTGATTTTTAAAGTAATTTTGTTAAAGTAATTTCACGATTTTGTTATAAGTGTTTAGATAATAACTTTTCTTTGCTTTAAATACCCTCTTTTAGGATTTTACTTCTAATCCAAAAGCTAACCGCGTAGCTTTGAAAAGGAAAAACATAACAATTAGCTGGATCAAAAGAAGACTGTGTAATACGTCAAAAGGAAACAGTACTAGTCCTAAATGAGCTACTTACTAAGAATAACAAAGAGGAAGTGATAAGGGAATCATTTACATCAAAAGAATATAATTTAATGATGCTCTAAGCAATTCTTGTACCAGATTAGTTTATGGTCAGTCTGCAGCTGCAGACAGAGTCAGAAACAAAGTTAGCACTCCACTAAGAAATCCCAGCTGGGAGTTATCTTAAATTTCCAATATACAACAGGAAATGTTGCCAGTGATTCAATAGGTGACACCCCTTCCCTTTTTTTTTCCTGAGTTGTAAACAAACTGAAAAAAAAAATGCCCCAGAACCTCTATTACTAGCTAAAAAAAATTAAACATAAAAGTTCCACTGCAATGTTTGAAATAACAGCTAAGCCACTGAATCTGAATGAACACCAAATAAGGATTGTTTCTGTCAACATTTATACAGCACCTCCTGGAACATATTAACATATTAATGCCCAATGAGCATTTCTATAATATAGTTATTATATTTTCAACATTCTAATTACCCTAAGTTTAAATTCTGAAGATTAATTATAAATTTCAATACATTAGGACAAGTCCTTGGAACTAAAATAACCCACAAAAATACAACAAAAAATTAATTTTAGATGAGTTGGATACTGTGAAAATTGATTATATGAACTGAAATTATCTTGCCATCTCCAATTAAGTTATAGTCAAGACCAGGGGAGGAAAAGAAAAGTGACTGAAGCAAAAGCACCTGCCCAGGGATTATCTCCCAAGCCAATGCCAAAATGACCTGCTACAACCTTAAGACCAGGTTTGCCTAGTAGTTGCAGAAATGAACTGCAGTAACTCTTAAGACTAGTTTTACCTGCTGCTGTCACTCACTAATCAGACCATGTCACCTCCTGAAAACTTCATGAATGCCAATGACTTTTTTTCCAAAACAATATATAACATTTCTCTTTCTAATAAAACCCCCAACCTTTTCTTTGTTCTTTGGACATATCAAAGACCACCCCAGTCTGTGTATATGCCCTGAATTACAACTCTGTTGTCCCAAATAAAATGTTTTGGTTAGAGATTCATCTCTATATTTTATTTCATTTGATAATATTCAACTATTTTTTACCCTAATATAGTATTTTAGAAGCCAGCCATAACATCTTGCTCACAGTAAACATTCTGAAACTAGCTCAATGAATGAATATTTGTATCTCTGTCATATCAGCATTTTTACAAGGCTCTTCTCTGTGCAAGACAGCATTGAGAGGGGGTTTACCAGACATACCTCTCTGGCAATGTTACTCAAAGCTTCATCTTCTGCAGAAAATCGGTCTTTCACAGGTGTTCTTTTCCTTCCAGAACCAGGAGTCCCCATCTTGTGTTCTTAATAGTCTTTTAACTCTGAAAGTGACTTCACTGTTTTCAGCCCTGAAATGAACACAAAGAGAATAATTTAGGATATTTCCTCGTGTGTGGTTTTAATGTTCATATATATACGTATATATGTGTATGTGTGTGTGTGTGTGTGTGTATACATAAATAAATTTTTTTCCTTTTAGAGACAGGGTCTCGCTCCATCACCGAGGCTAGAGTACGGTGGAGCAATCATAGCTCACTGCAGCTTTGACCTCCTGGGCTCAAGCAAGCCTCCTGCCTCAAGCTTCCGAGTAGCTAGGACTAAAAGTATACACTGCCACACCCAGCTATTTTATATTTTTTTGTAGAGACAGAGTCTCACCATGTCGCCCAGGCCTGTCTCGAACTCCTGGCCTCAAGTAATTCTCCCACCTCAACCTCCCAAAGTGCTGGGATTACAGGCGTGAGCCACCGCACCCATCCTTATAAATTCATTTTTAAAAGAGAAATTAGTCACCAAATGCTTTTTCCCACTACCAAATTATTCCAATATATGTTAGAATAGTTAAATTTATACTAATTACTAAACCTCCTAACTCTTTTCACTATGCTACCCACAGCAACCTATGACAGTGTGTTATAACATTAGCCTCAGAAAACTGCAGTCAGCAGTAATTCTATGTAACAGTTTAAAATTGCTACAGCTATTTCTAAAATCTATTTCCATCCCAGAGTGAAAGACATTTCAGAGAAGTCATTCAGCCTAAAGTTTTGGAAGAACCTGTTCAAGAGGTTTTAATATTGAGCCTTAAAGCTACAAAAGTAACTTTGCTTTTTAGTGAAACTTAAGAAACAATTCCAATTAAACCATGACCACAAAAACAAACAAACAAAAAAAAAACAAATGAAGATTTCTTATTCTGCAATTAACAATAACCAACACTGTCCATGTAACTAACAGCTGAGTGCTTGCTGTTTCCAGGTACTACAGGAGGTGCTGAAGATACATTGATGAACAAAACTGATACAGCGGAATGATTAAGAATATATCTAAAGGGGAGTCACTCTGGATCTACTCTGGTACAGGGGGCTGCCCAATAAATAAAAAATAAATATATTTTTTAAAACAGAATGTATCTATGAATCTATTATTAAGTAGAACTATTTTTATAGAAGAGAGAAGAGGCCAGGAAGGCTGGCTTATGCCTGTAATCCTATCACTTTGGGAGGCCGAGGCAGGAGGATCATTTGAGCCCCGGAGTTTGAAGTTGCAGCGAGCTACAATATGATGATGCCACTGCACTCTAGCCAAGGCAACAAAGCAAGACCCTGTCTCAATTAAAAAAAAAGGAGAGAAAGAGAAAAAGAGACAGAGAGGGAAGAAAAACTCATCTGCCAGAACTAAATAATAAGGAAGATTAAGACCATCTAACCTTTCTAACACACGGAATTTGAGATTAAAAATTCCCAGGAGTGAATGCATCTGAAATTGCATGACCTCCCTATCTTCTACACACATTGATGAGAAGTATAGTTCATTTAGCTAAATACCCAGTAAGTTAAAAAAATTTTCCTAGTTTTAACAAAAGAAACTGGCAAAATTTCTTTGTAGTATGAGTCAGAAAGGAATTCTCAAATAGGTCTACCCTAACAGAATTGGCTAAATTAAAACTATAAGTGACTTTAATGTACTGGAATTTACTTGATTTAGGCAAAATAAAGCAGAACCACTTCCACCAAAAAACAATTTTCTCCAGTGAAAATTAGGCCATTCTCACATTATCTAACATCATTTCTCATTCCCCAGAGCTGGACTGTTACATCTGTCAACCAGAATAAAGACTGATGATGGTTTATTACTTCACCATAGAAAATATATCTGGATATGATCATTAAGAAAAGAACTTATTTAAATGGAAACAAACAAAAGTGTACATCTGAAAGCAGAAGCTGATAAATCCCAACCACAAATCAGGACAATTCCTGAAAAGTACAGAGGAGTTTTCTCAGAAGTCTCTAATCATCTTCAGCTTCAGCATAATTTAAAATATCATTCATTTAATTAATAATAATGGTATATACACACCCACTGAGGGGAAAAAAGCAACATGCAATTCAAAGTTCCTTTTCACATCAGAGTGACAATTTAGCTAATACATTGTGGTATCATCCATTATTTGTCCTTCAGCCAGTTTTCCAAGGACACACTGAAAGACATTTCACAGAAGCAGGAGACAAAAATGTAGGCATTTTCTAATTCCAGATACATAAAAATAATTACAGAAGAAAAAACAGATTTGGCAGGAAATGCATCAGTAGTTTAACAGTGTTTTTGTTATGAGGATAGGATTCAGGATGCATTTTTTCTTCTTTAGTCCCTAAAATTTTAATAGCATTGAGGAAGAAGAGATACTTTTAAAAATAAAACATAAAAACATTCTGATCCAAAGCTCAAAGAATAAACTCATCCCTAAATGGATCACACCACATTAGGCACAATATGCTATACAACTGAGACACACTATCTGAAACCACTGTCCAGGGCACTCTTTTGAATGTACTTCTTTCTCATCTTTCTCCTCTTTCCCCATAATCCATTTTCCTTCTTTCTCAACTAACACTGTCTACACCTTAGAGCACCAGGGTACTCCGGGCTGACAAATTTATGTAAAAAATTATTCTTTCTTAAAACTACCTCAAAACTATTTTAATAAGCTCCAGGCTCGGCAGCCCTGAGGAAAAGATGACAGGAAACGGACAGAGGCACAAGATAAGCAGGAAATGAGAACAACTTCCTGGCCATCTTCCTTGTCCTTCCTGTCCTATGTATTATACAGAGAGCACCTAGGTGTTTACGTGACTGGCCAGGTCCTGTCCCCTTTTCTGCTGCACATGAGGCAGATCAGCCATTACCCATTTCAAAGAACAATCTAGTACTTTTGAAAGAATTATATTATTTGTACCCTGTAGACAGGCATCCTTAACACAGTATTAGAAAAATTAAAGATTTTAAGTTCCTGGGTGATCTATCTTCCAGGAACTCCACACCATTCTGCATCAGTGATGGAGGAAACCTTGAATGAAAGAAGATTCCTTCCATAGCCAATGGAGAACTACTTCTCAACAAAATGACAAAAATAAGGATACAGACTCAAAGACAACATTAAATAGATTATGTCCTTTCTGAGCCTAAAGGACTTGCAGTACATTTCTATCCCAGTGAGGTTTCCTCAAGAACACTTTTCTTCAGGAGCCACGTTAATCTCTTCCAACTTTCCCTTAGTGGTATCAAACAACTTAAAGAGCTAAACCTTTACAGCAATTGATAAGAACAAATGCCTGCATTTTTGTCAAGTCCTTTACCCAGAAAGTGTCAAGCTGATTTTTTCCAGATGGTTTTGTCATTAAGTATTTGTCTACTTAAGGGAAAGAAGGGAAGTACCTCCAGGATGTTGTAGAATAAAAGCCTTCCAAAATAGACACATCACTAAAGCTTTCTCTTCTCCAATGAACTTCTCATATAATACATGTCTGAAACAATAGGCATTTTGCCACATTAAAAGTGGTACTTCAATCATGACACTGCTTACTTTTATAAGAACAGAATGTGCATGTAGTATCAGCATGTCACATTCTAAATATAGCACACTTAGATAGCTCTGTGCCCAACTGGACCCTGACAGATACAGTTCCTTTATACCTAAGTATCGCATCATGGAGAACTCTAAATACTGTCATACTGTCCTGGTATGTCTTTGCATCATATCTGCCATTACAGTTAAGGCTAGTTTGCACAATTAAACATTTGGTAGTTATTCATAAACAAATCCAGTATCTGGAATGGCACCTGAACTAGTGACTTAAAGTGACTGCAGGCCGCGCGCAGTGGCTCACGCCTGTAATCCTAGCACTCTGGGAGGCCGAGGCGGGCGGATTGTTTGAGCTCAGGAGTTCGAGACCAGCCTGAGCAAGAGCGAGACCCCGCCTCTACTAAAATTCAAAATAAATTAATCGGCCAACTAAAAATACATAGAAAAAATTAGCCGGGCATGGTGGCACGTGCCTGTAGTCCCAGCTACTCAGGAGGCTGAGGCAGAAGGATCACTTGAGCCCAGGAGTTTGAGGTTGCTGTGAGCTAGGCTGATGCCACGGCACTCACTCTAGCCCGGGCAAAGAAATGAGACTCTGTCTCAAAAAAAAAAAAAAAGTGACCACAGTTGTTGCCACGGGACAAAATTTAAAGTGGGAGCCCCTGAGCTCAACTGATTGCACCGCCACCTGTGGCACTGTCCTTCCCATTTCCTAAGCCTCCCTTTCATCGTCTATCTACTCCAACTATCTGACATGGTTAATGTGAGGCTCAAATGAGGTAAGATAAATACAAGCACTGAATATAAAGCACTCCATAAATATTTAAAGTGTCTTGAATTAACAACTGCTTTTACATATTTACCTTATAAAATTGACAAAAGTGCAATCTTGGCCTTCCTTTACAATTTCATATTATTAACTAAAAAAAAACATCCTCAAGTTATTTCCTCCAGCACGCATTGTATGATATCATTAGTCATGCTAAGAATTTTTGCTAAAGCATGGAACGATCTGGGAAAAATAAAAATACCTTTAACTATAATCATTCTACTGTATAGCACATTTATATGATAAAAACAAAAATAAAAAAGGAGAAATTTTTTTGTTGTGTTAGAAACGGGATCTTACCCAGGCTGGGGTGCAGTGGCTCCATCATAGCTCACCGCAGCCTTGAACTCCTGGGCTCAAGTGATCTTCCCACCTCAGCCTCCCAAGTAGCTGGGATTACAGGCGGGAGCCACGACGCCCATCTTTTTAAAAAAGGCGAAATTTTTAAGGTACTTTGTGGTATTCAAAGTCTATTTTTGAGGCCAGGCAGACACAGTGGCACAGCGGCTCACACCTGTAATCCTAGCACTCTGGGAGGCCAAGGTAGGAGGGTTGCTTGAGCTCATGAGTTCAGACCAGCCTGAGCAAGAGACCCCATCTCTCTACCAAAAAGAAAAAAGTCAGCGGACATTGTGGCTCACGGGCCTGTAGTC